TAACTTGTTAGGATGTGATAAATATACATGTTTCTAACAGTCCTCACTCACTTGGGGTTAAAAACTCGGTACCCTTCGATAAGTTGTCATTTAACTGTGTATCGCCTAATAAATCATTTTAGAGTTAATTATCTTTTTTAACCTGCTTTTTATCGGTCAATGGTCATGTTATCTTGCCTGTTGTTTGTGTCAATGGTATGATATTTTGATTCATATTCAAGAAATTTGGTGTATCCACTGGGCTCTATCTAAAGGTTAGGATCAAAGATCAAGATCTACAGAAAATTACATGCCGTATCATAATCTCGGTTGAATAAAAACATTTACTGGGTAAAATCAAGGTGGACGAGGCCTAAATAAAAGCATTGAGTCTGTAAACCGGTTAACGTGCAATTTGATCCGGTTAATAGCGCAATAATTTCTAGAAACGAGTGCTGCCGTATACGATTTCAGCAACCGCGCATCCACCTCTGATTTTTATCTCAACGCGTACCACGAAGATAAGTAGGAGTACATTTTCCCATTACGATGTGGCATCGGAGTGGGGTACTTAAGGTTGTCGAAATAGCTACTTTACTATACTACCAACTTGTAGGTTGTAGGTGTTCAAAATAAGAAATTCCGTCTAAATTTGAAACAATAGTTCCACAATGTTTGGGCGCCGAGTTAATGTGAGATATTAAAAAGGAAGAATGTATTTGTAAAATCTCAGCGAAATAATTTGAAGTAAATCCAACGTTTATCCTAGCAATCTGGTCCAAGCTTTTTCAAGAAAAATAAGAAAATTTGAGCAGATGTTTAAACATTCGTCGAAATCCAACAATGACGAGATTAGAAATAAATCCAAGGAACTCGATATAAACAAAATAGTGGTAAATCTATCTGACAGACATTTAAATCAACACGAACTATCACTACTTAAAAATGGTCTCAATTTCAATATGGACAAAACACGAATTTCGGCCTCTGAAGTTATTCCGTTGATCGAACCTGCCTTAAACAGTGTTCCAGATGATCAAGCGGATTCAGTGAGGTTTAAAATCTGAGCTGCATTGTTGAATCAAAAACCAAGTACGCCTAATATTTCTAAAGAAGAAACGTATGGGCTAAAACAGTTACGTTAAGACAGAAAAATTGTTATTATGAAAGCAGACAAGGGAGACACCACTGTTGTTAGGAATAATTATATGAAAGAAAAGTCAATGAACATCTCCACAATGGACCCTATTAAAAAATCATGAAGAACAAATATAGAGCCACTTTAAATAAGTTGATAGCTGAAACAGCCAAAATGCTACAGAAGTTGAAGTCCAAACTAGGACCATCTTTATGATTCTCTTTATATCCAAAAAGCAATAACCCTTGTAGATTTTATGGCCTACCGAAAATACATAACACAGATATACCACTAAAACCTGTGGTTGATTACATAAATTCACCAACCTATAATCTTTCTAGATACCTGGCCAAAATTCTTAAACCATATGAAAGCGTAATAAAATATGGAATAAAAAATTCTAATGATTTCAAAAACATTGTTCGTAATATCCGCATAGAAAAGGATGAAATAATGGCAAGTTTTGATGTTTGCTCATTGTTCACTAATGTTACTGTTAATAAAGCTTTAGATGTTGTATATAACCTCTTAGATCCTGACACTGAACTTAAACAACGTTGTCCTTTAGATCCCTCAGACATTATTAGATCTTTGGTTTTATGCTTACATTCAACTGTTTTCAGCTTTCGGGGAGATTTGTACAGATAAACAGAAGGTGTAACTATGGGATCACCGGTTTCTCCTATTGTTGCTAACTTATTCATGCATTCACTGGAAGCAAGTGCTATCTCAATTTGTTCCATTCCACCAGAAATTTGGTTAAGATACGTAGATGACACTTTTGTCATTATAAAATGAGATGATTTAGACGAACTATTTCAACTTGTCAACAGCATTTATGACAAAATCAAGTTCACTAAAGAGTTGGAATCTCCTGAACGCAAATTACCTTTTCTAGACTGCTTGGTTGCAAGGAAGTATAATGATCGTTTAAAAATTAGTATTTTCCGAAAGCCGACATATTCAGGGAAATTTCTAGATTCTAAGTCTGCGCATCCACGCTCTACCAAAGTGACAGTAGCCAGAAATTTGATCACCAGAGTAAAAAAACTTGTCGCTGAACAAAATGATATAAAAAATGGAAATGAATTTAATTGTATCCACTCTAATTATGAATGATTGTCCGAAGGATTTTATTAAAAGAATAATTAAGAATGAAGGACAAAATGTTATTATTAAAAAAAGAGTTATGCGAAAAGAAAGGATTAACACAGGGGTAATCCCATATCGTAAAGGTATTTCAGAAGAGATCAAAAGAATCCTAACTCTTCAACATCTAAGAGTATTCTTTCGAACAAACAATACTCTAAGATCAAAACTAGTAAGAATCAAAGATCCAATACACAATGGTGAGCAACAGAATTTTGTTTATAAAATCAACTGTAATGCAACGTATGTAGGTGAAACATCAAGGCAACTGAATGTGAGGGTGAAGGAACACAAACTATGTTTAAAGCACATCCCTAAATCTTCAGTTGAGGTAAAAAGAAACCGAGGACAAATCAGCGATAGCATTACACTCGATAGAATCGGGTCCTGCAATTGATTTCAATGGCACAAGAATCCTTCAAAAAGGCTTTAATTCTTACAAAGAAAGACTAACAGCCGAAGCCCTACATATATGGGCTAATCCAAACAGTATTAATAGGAGAGATGGAATACAACTAGCTGTCCCATGGCAACTAATAATTAATAAGTAAACCTGAACTCTTTATTCAATTCTATCTATCTATATCATATTAACTAATCAGTAGATAGCCTCCAAATGCCCTGGTATGGCCGAGAGTGAGGTCGGCCCTCCCTCCCTCTCGAAATGCTCTCACACGGCCACGCGTATACGGCCTCTGCCAGGGAAGTCCTACTCACCATGTACCTATTTACGCTCGATAATTTTGTTTGATTATATTTTCCTTAAAAAAGCTTTGACCAGATTGCCAGACGAGACGTTGGATTTACTTCAAATTCTTTCGCTGGGATTTTACAAATGCATTCTTCCTCTTTAATGTTGTAGGTGTTTGTTTAAAATAGTGGGTCACCTAGGACTTATTCTTAAGTACAGAATATCTCATCTACAATATAGTTCATAGTCAATCCTGGTCGTTGATGGGCAGCTGAATTTGTCGATTTATCTCTCGAACGAGGTACAATCTCAGGTCCCAGCATTGACATCAGTCAATAACAACGTAGAACTTCGTACGTACGTACGTATATCAGTTGGAGTTACCATACCACATTAGCACAGAGATGTAGCTGTCGACTCAAATTCCGTAGTGGTGACATCATTGATAAGAGCCATTTCGGACTAATATTTAAGACGGTCTATATATATGTAATAAGGCATATATCTAGTAGTTTCTTACCGGGAGATCATTGGATAAAGGTGAGTATGGTTCAAACGAGCATCGGGATTGATAAAAAAATAGTTTTCAGAGTGCAAACTAGGGAGTAAAGACGTCTCATCACGCAAAGGGTGAGGATATTTCATATGTGATACTCAATTCAATATCCCGTAATGTGTACTACTGATTATCAGTAACTATGCGTTTATTGAGACAATTTAATTTATTACTTCCAGATAAATTTTTCTGAGTTTATAAATTGTTTTATGTCTTAGCAGGTTATTTTAACTTGATCACCATGTTTGACATCTTATACCAATCGGTATTAACTAGTTCCGACTTAATAGTAGCTACCAGTATATAATCCGCGTTTACACAAATTGCATAAGAATGCGACCATCATTGATACATTTATCCTAAATGTCCTCAGTCACTGTAAATATAAGACATTACTTCAGCATTGGCTGGCGTCATCGCTTGAATTAGTGATGGGGAGTGGAGTAGTCGAACGCATCGACCGCTCCACTTATATTAGTAGTATCATCACTACTGATGGTTTGGTGTCTGAAGAAACCTCAGCACGGATTCAAAAGGCTCGATTGGCTTTTGCCAATTTGTGTAGGCGAGATACCCCTCCTCCAACCAAAGGGAGAGTTTACTGTCCAGAAGTTCTCTTCATTGTACTTTATGAATGTGAAACATGGTCATGAAGAGTAGAGGACACTCATACGTTTCTGGTATTCGATCATAAGCGTCTACGAAGTATCGTTTGTGTATTTTCGGAGCATGGAGTAAGCCTAGATTAGGAGTAGAGTACTCAGCTGTGATGAGTAGTCGATTGTTGAGGTGGTAAATCTTCAACTGAGGTGTTACTTATGCCCAACCACCGCCTACATCGACGGGTTATGTCTTTGGGTGCAGGAGTAGGCTGGAAGAAAGTTAGGGACTGCCAAAATAAAACATGGCATCACTCCATGAAGCCACTGACAGCCACGTTAATAGGTACGCACTACTTTGTTGGGGTCCGTGTGACTATCGTAGCCAATGGTTAGAGACTTTGAATAACATGGCTGAAAATAGTTTGTAACGGCTCAGGTGCATCCATTCTTTATCTTTCCTCAAATCCTGAAATTCTAAATTGCTCATAAGTCTCTGTGTTTTATCTCACTAATTTATATTTTCTTTTCGTGTCGCATCTTCGATGACTTATCTTTCCTAATTACCACGGATACTGTTACTACATCTACCATTCTAGGATTTGACCTGATAACATCCCTATTTTAACGGGGTATGACGTGAACCGATGTACGTACGTATAGGTTCTACGTTGTGACTGACTGATTCACGGCAATCCAATAAAATACGTCTTGAAATGTTTACTTTCGGGCTTTGTAAATTAATGTTTCGTTCATTATGGTTCAATTTTACTTGATGGTCATTGAATATGCTTAAGTTAGTTTTCTTATCTAATGCTTAATATAACTTTACTATTGATTTTTTAGGACACAAAAGCGATACTACAATTATAGTCAAAAGTTTAAATTATGGCAAAGCATCATCCAGACCTTATTTTCTGCAGGAAACAACCAGGTGTTGGTAAGACTGTTGAATTTTACTACTATCCTTAACAAAGCTATCGGTCGTCTGTGTGAAAAGTGTGATGGGAAGTGCGTTATTTGTGATTCTTATGTTCGCCCGTGTACTCTTGTTCGCATATGTGACGAGTGTAATTACGGATCATATCAAGGACGTTGTGTTATATGTGGTGGTCCAGGGGTTTCGGACGCTTATTACTGTCGACAGTGCACGTGTCTGGAAAAGGATGTGAGTGTTTCTCGATTCTCTTTAATTAGATATTTTTACTTAGAGAGATGGGTGCCCTAAAATCGTCAATTTAGGAAGTGCGAAAACTGATCTGTTTTATGAACGTAAAAAATATGGATTCAAAAAACGTTGACATGTTCCGAAAAATACATCTTTTGTAAATGTTTTTCACTTCATATATTATCAGTAAAGCTCTCCATAATGATCTCTTTTCAGGTGTTACTTTATAGTGATATGATTATTATTCCTAACTTAATTGTATTCATAGTATGCACATTTTTGTTATATGTACAACGTGACTTTCGGAAGTTGAAAGTATACTCCGGGCGTTATCATTGATAATTGGCAACCTCTGAGGTTTTTTAAGGAATGTGACCTCCAAAACATTATTTAACTGGAATCTGAGTAAAAACAACACGTCAGTAACTTTATCAAAAGTTGTTTGTTACGAGTGGTAGGAAGTCTCAAGAAGCTTTACTGGTTTCAGATTATTTTCCACTTCTTTACCAATTAAGTGGTGACTCTTAGACCCTAAATATAGTTTCTAACATCAAATCAAGCTAGTCGTAATAGGTAAAATTCAGACCGTTTGATAATTCATCATCATTGTGGATCTTTTCGTTGCTTAGGAAAATTAAATAAGTTCACGCCAAATAGTAACAGAGCCTAGGTCACGTAGTTCCTAAATTATAATCCATCGTCTAACTTCAGTTACTAGGAGCACTTTTAAAACTGATAATTTACTATAATAGATGGCGTGGAAAATAATGATTGGGAATCTCAAACGGGGATTCCTTAAAACTTTTCAAAGACTTGTTTGTTATATCTGTTAGGGGAGACACAAATAGCAATCGAACTAGGTAATTGTTTGGTCTCCCAGCTTATCGGTTGTATTAACACGGTGAGTTTGGTGTTAATACGACGTTTTATGGAGTAAATAATCCATCTAATTCACCGTAAAACCTGGCAGGAGTGTTTATCAGTCCCAGCTGGCTCACTGCACATTACCAAAATGGAGGAGGAAATTCATAGAACAGGGAGCTTAGGAGGTAAAATAATGTCAAACCCAATGTGTTGTGGAGCTCAATTTTTCTGTGCTATGATAAATACATCTCTGATTAAGAGGATGATTCAAAACCTGATCAACTAGTGATGTACAGTGATACTATAACAGCTGGCGACATTGAATTCTTGACAAAAGCCCTAAAATGAACTGATGTAAAAACGTAGCACAAAAATCATTAAATGAGGGTTATCTGGTCATGTTTACGTACAAAATATGAAACGTGATTAGGATCAGTTTGGAACAAGAGGAATGTGGATATATAAGTTTTGTATGTCAATCACAAGCCAATGATTTACTCATTCACAGCAAATATAAACTGGTACAATGAGATATCAAAAAGTGCTGAACTAGTGAAATGATAATATTGTGGAGGAATGAAAAAAGTAAGTGGTCTCAGAAAATAAATGAACAAGAAAAGTGTTCAGTAAAAGATACAATGCAGTCAAAATCGATGCTCCATTAAAGAAATTCAAGTAACGTTTTACGAAGAATTTCGGAAAAACCCAGTATGATGGTTTCCGTCCACAGCCATATCTAATGGCTTCTTAAACCGCTGAGTTCCACAATCTCTAAAAACCCAGCCAAGAAGTGATGAACCGATGTGCCCGTCGTAGACACCTATCTATCATACCACAGCGCTGGTCGATCCTCCCTTTTTTCACTTAGCCAGCATCGGGAAATAATGGGCCTTGTGGAAGCCGATTAAACGATACTAGTAAACCTTGTTTGAACTGCTAAAGCCGGTTTTTCAAGATGGTGACACCAAGTGTACCCAAACATATTACAGAACCGCCAGGATTACCGGATGTTACCAATTCTTCAGAGGCAGAGATAATCATGCACAGTCCCTGAACATTCTCAGCTCTACAAGGATAGCAGAACCGCTCTCACCGACACGTATATTCAGTCTTTTGTAGTCAAATTAGCAGCGTCACGTTTGAACCGAAAACGGCACAGATCGGCGTAAGCTACTCTGGCTCGCACCATTTGATAGGTTTACTTGACCCTCACGGTGATCGCAGGTTCAATATCCTGTTAGTCTTGCAGAAGTGTTTTGGGTTTCGAATAAGTAAATTAGACCCCGTACATGAGTAAGCTAATCACTAACCAAGAAGTATACTTCAAAGACAACTTAAACCGAAGAATAAAAATATGGAGCCGTAATAAACTTGAGATTTAAAGAGAAGCAAGGCTTGAGTATAACTACCGGAGTAACCGACTTTGGATCGTACTACCGATTATGACTAATGTACAGACTCCAAACCGCACGTCCGCAACTGACATGGTTAGCACCAACATTCAATTGATGAAATAATAGCATCTCTTAACTTGACCCCCTTCATACTTTCTGTGCGAGTAGGTAGTTTGCTTCCGAGTAAGCTCTAGCTAGATATATGTAATACGTCCTAGACACCTTGATCAATAAAGTTCTAAAGCCTCAATAATGGTCGTACCATTTTACCTAGTACTTCTTGCTTGACCATAGCACTACCGACTCGGTCATTCTACTATCTGTGACCAATGGTTCAAAGGTGCCGTTAATCAAACTCTGCGAACACGCAGTTCTTTCTTATGAACCTCGATTTATAGCCGTAGAGCAGTGCGAATTGGACTTCTGTCTAGCATTCATGCTCCTTAATAAACACACCTTATCTGCGCTACAGGTGGAGAGTTTGTAGAAGCCAACTTTATTATCTCATGGGAAAACTACATTGACAAATAATTCGACGGATTCAAGTCACCAGTGTAATAATACCTTGCAATATCTATTAACTAGTTATCTAAACTAATTTGATCACCTAAGAAATTCTCCAGATTAAGTTTGGGAACACATCACCTGAACGGTATCCATTTGTCAGTAAAAGTAGATTCGACCATCTAAAGTATCGGCTAGGATTTGTGAGTCATACCTAGAATGTGTCGTGAGAAATCATTTAGTAGGCATGCGTCAATACTAGGTAGCGAATAGTAAGAGGTGGCAGTTGAGACATTCAATTCCTTCGATGGCTCAATAGTCATAGGATTGTACTGATCGCAACAGTACTAGTCTTAGTTTTCTGAGCAGACCGACATATAGTTTCAACATAAATGCAGTAGTTCGTTAATCCAGTTGCTAATTAGGGATACAGGACAAGAAGACTATGTCCTTTCACCATAGTCTGAAGGTCTAGTACGCTTAATTCACATTATCGACACTGTTATCTCTAAAGTTTACATTCATTTAGAGAACTGTCCTTCGAGTGTATGTCCACAGTTTAAACAGATACGTTGTCGATCCTACTAAACTGCAGCTGTCAGATTGGTATTTTGTGGATCTAATTATCTCAAAGGATAACAAACTGTTATTTGGCTTATACAGTTATTTAGTGGTTGTATCTACTAAGCATGTTGATACTAGTATTCCGAAAGGAAATCTGATCACAATTTCATTTTGATCAAATGACTGAAAGTCATCACATGTTGATGGGTTTTGCACTTTCACTTTAGCATGAAATAGGTTGCATTGGCATGTTAGGCAGTCGCAGATATATCTCAATATCACTGTCGTTCGGTACTTCTTAAATACAGGACTAATGACCACGACATTTTCCAATTATATTGGTCATAACCATTAAGGTCTGAAAAATATTCACTTGCGATTAGAAATCAGAAGTACATTAAGAATTATTTTCTAAGGTTACACTTTTTCTATCAGATTAATGCGGTTCACTGACATGAAAAGATAGCGTGTGAAAGGGCGACTCCCGATTATCCCTAAATATTTAATCTATTCCCATTCTCCAAACTCACACCAGAGTTTAGTAAACATAGGTACGGAGGATCGCAAAAACTACTTGCTTTTGTGACCTCAGGTGCAAGCTTTTACTCGGTGATCCACTTTTGAAAATTGACAGTTTACCAACGACTAAGCATCTAAAAACAGCATGATTAGAAGTTCGAAATCTGGTTAATGCCAACAAGCTTTAAACGAATGGGATTTTACGAGCCATCACTTAGTACGTTTGACCAGATAAGCGCGCCTCAATCGTTTTACGAACAGAGAAACAGGGCTTGACTACCAGGTCTTACATGTAGAAAACCATATCAGCCAGTTTAAGACCTGTTTTGTCACAACAGCATTTCTATAGCGACAAACGGTTTTGCTTAACATGACAGGGTTAGCTTTACTTGTACTTTAAAGTAATCTTCATTAGGTCAAAGTAGGTTCACTAACATATGAATCACATAAAATATTTTTAGTCTAAGCAGAACATCTACAAGTAAAGTATTTTGAATAAATTTAACGGTTGTAATATTTTCGTAGTGACCCAGCCTAAACGTAATTCAGATTCATCAAGTAAGTAAAACGCTTATAATTTTTATTTGATTGAAATATTCAAAAAATAGTTCGCAATCGTGACTACACTGGAAGTAATTTAGAAAAGCACAAAGCTTGGAACATTTAGTTACAGAAATAATAACTGGGAAAGTTATATCTACAGTTTGGGATTTGCATAAAAATTAGTTATTATTTACTAACTTTTCAAGGCAAGACATGATAAATATACATGCACATTGAAAATTTGTATATAAAATTAACACGATTTGAGTCATGCTACTGCGTTTCAGAAAGTGCAACTTTATTAACTCTTGTTCCGTCACGAGGATCAATAACTTCCAATGGTTTCTTCGGGAATCTTCGGTTGAACACTGGTTTTTCCTCGCTATTCCAGTGAGGCTCCACCGCAGTCATACCTAAGTGCATCACGTATGTTTGACTAGGGTCATCTGGAAATATTAAAGGTATTTTGTAAAATAATGATATACATTTTACGCATTATTTACTCACTGGTTAGAATTTATGAAATTTGATGAAGATAAATATCGTATAGGTCTCCAGTTATTGCTATCCAGAACTTGACAATACCAGAAATTTTGTAACCTTAAATCATTTAACACTTTGTTAGGCTTACGGTATAATATTTTAATGAGCTTATTATGACAGTATACGTGGTGTTAATCAAAAAATCGTGTGGAAAGCTAGGAATTTTACTTTTCTTTGCAGCTAAAGTGGATATCATAATTACAACCAGTTTGGCAACAAATTACCATAGTGCTTGTCTTTACCCTCTCTATCTAATAATCATATATTTTCCAAAACCCGGCTCTAATCACCTACTACTTAAAAACTCATCATCGTCAATAGTAGATTACCAATCTTTCAAAATTCACCCAGTTTATCATAAAGCCAGCTCTGATCACAAGTTTTACATAAACTAAAACGATCAACTAGAAAGGGGAAACCGACTAATAAACACTAACGTTTTCAATGCACATTATGAAACTGTGTTGGATACAACCTTACTAACAAAAATATAGAGTTCTATAGTGTAACTTTGAGTAAGCTTATACCATTTTTTTTGCAGTACACTTGTAATATCTGAGTTCGTATATGTGGAATATTTAGATCCACCTTTCAAAAAATAACAAAACTTGGTATTACAAGAATAAAGTTGTGGTACATATTAGCATCACAAATTGTGCTTGTGGTTCTTAGCAGTGTTGGTTCTGTAGTTGCTATGACTTTGTAACTGAGTACGTATTTAGTTTGACACGCTTCATCACGTATTGATCAAATCCTTATTGAAATGAAATCTTCACATGGTACCTTCCCTCCCCAAGAATCGTAGTTTGATAAACAAACTATGTGGAAACCAAAATTAGTAGTGTCAGATCGTCATCTGAACTTCGGTAAGATAATCCGTTAGGTATATTCAGTAGTATGCATCTAGTGGGCAACTGTCTTATGCTTCAGTCTACGTTTATTGACATATACAATGCAGTACCTAGTAAGAAATTACAAAATACTGGTGAAATGTCATGTAAATGATTTGTAGGAAGAGTTTCTGTTAGCTCCAAGCTACGTTTATTACAAAGTGGAATTTTAATTAATAATTACCCGGATAAATTCCGAAATAAATAACTAAGCATATTGAAGGGAACTTACTTGTGACTCCACATGGCACATGATCAAAACAAAGAGTCGTGGCTGCTGGCACTGGTAAATTCATATTTTGAATTCCATTTCCATATAAACGATGTATCTGAGCTTGATGAGCATTAGGTAGTACGTAGTTTGACATCACAGTGCTTGGAGGTTGATAGCGTGGATCATGCTGAAATATATCTGGGCAATATATAGTTTGTAAATGTGGATTGACAGATGAATATTCCGTAGGAATACGTCTGCTATATTCTATGGAGGGCTGGAAATGTGTTAGAGAAACTGGATGCACACTGATACTGACTGGTTGAGAGTTCGCTTTTTGTTGACTAAACGTGTTGATACCAGTGATTTTAGTGCAAACCTGATCTTGAGTTGCAATTACGTCTTTACAGTCCGCTGCAGATTTATGTAGTTGAGTAACCTCATCTACATTCCCTGGGGTGCTTAACTTTGTAACCACTAAGTCCTTAACGTCAACAGAACCACACGACTCTTCAGTGTGTACAGGAGATGGAAGCTGCAATGGCGTTTTTTTATCGGTAGATGAATCAATGTTAGATACATTTTGTCGGACAGCAGAATACCGTTTCGGAACTCTTTCTCCACGTTTTACTTGTTCGCGGATGTGACTTGAGTGTTTTATTACTTGAGGTTTATAAACTCTTCTGATTTTTGTGTTTACTGGAGCGAAGTTAATGGCCTGTTTCTTACTGACATACTGATAGTTTGAGACTGGGGGCTTTGACGAGTCTTCCCTATTACGTCTGGAAAGATTGGAGCTGGATGTGTAATATGAATGGTTTAAACCCTGTTGATGTTTACAATATGAATCATGTGTGTTAGTTGAATAAGCAGGCTTCATATCAAGGGTTGGAGTAGGATGACTGCGATGCACATTAGTTCCAGATACAGAATCCTCTTTTATGGGCCTTGAAGAAGCTTGAGTTTGAAACTCATCCGTAACTGAATCTTTCCGTGTGGAGAAATTGCGTCCATAGCAGTCGCTCTTTGTAAAGCGGCTATAACCATTATACTTGATGCTAGAGTATGTGATGGTTTTTCCTTGGGTTCTAGCAGAACGCTTTTGACTTTCGTTACCGCACAACACACTGTTTCGCACTTTGGTACTGGTTACTTCACTCGGTCTATGTGAAGAATGGTATGTCTCATTAGTCTCGCAGGAGATGGAGGTTGTCGTAGGGACGTTACTTCCATCATTAGGATCAGAGTTATTTGCCAACGGACATATGTTTTCTTTACGAATATCGTACCCATACCTCCATATGATTTCCTCTGTAGACCTTGGGGCTTGATCATAATAATTAAATTTGTCATGCTGCCATCGTCGGTTACTTTCTCGCTTTTTAACCACTACAACGTCTTCTTCTAGTGTACGATGGTCATGCATATAGTACCTCCCACCTCGTGGTATGTACGCTGGATTTGTTTTGTCCTGATCAGCATCAACGTCAAAATCTATGTCTGCAGCATCAGTACCTTCCTGCGGTAACGAATTATTTTCTTTTTCATTAACATGAAGTTCGGTTACACCGTCTAGCACACTATTCACAGCAGAATCGTCACTATTCCTGACGTCATGACCTTCCTCGTTTTCACTCCAATAACTGTTGAAATCACTACATGAGTGTACCAGACTCACGCTCTTCCCTGAGACGTCATCTGAATTGTCAGTAACTTCACGGAGACCATGACGTTTGCGTGCACCAGGAAGATTTTCTTCGTCTGAATGTCCGTTTTCATAGTTTACATCATTCAAACTGTCGGACGACGAAGCATTGCTTGAAAAATTATCGTTCAAAAGCAACCCCGACGAACTTTTATGTCGATGAAGTGTGTGCGTCTTATTCCCTGAGTGCATCTGATAGTCTAGTATATCATTAAGAGATTTGGAAGTGTAGATTTCATAGTGACTTCCGAACCCCCTGAACTTTCCCTGAGGTCCCGAAAGATTTTTTGAACCTAAGTGGTCAATAAATTGTTTATTAACAGGTACTAAAAGTTTAGTTGAGTAACCTTGAAGATTGGTATAATTAGATTGACCGAGGTCCGTGTTGAGAGGTACTTCCTCACAAGACCGAGATCTATTTATTGTACCATCTAGGTAGTTATAGTTCCATAAAACTGGATTAGGCTTAAATACACTTACTAACGAATGCCATTTCATACAAGGAATATTCCCAAGGTCTATGTTCTGCATACAGAGGCGGAAAGTAACGTACTAATTGAAAATGCCCACCCCATACTTCAAAAACAAATGGTTTTGGACGAATAGAAGAAGCTTTCATTTTACTGGCTTCAATGTGTGTCCTTATCCTTTTTCAGCGAGGGATGAAAAGCTGTTTCCGCACTCTAAATGGGGACGGATAAAACTGCTGAAGATTCGATGGAAAGTTTTCCTGCCTAACTGGTGGATAGTGCATAGTACTAAATTATATCTGAACCTGTTATACTTCATGAGGCATAGGTTCATATATAATAAGATTTTAGAGTCTAACTGTTATAATACAAATTTATTCGTCATGTGGTTGATCTACTTCATGTTGTAGAGTACAGTGAATAACATAGTACATAAGTCTACAAAGAGACAATTTCATAACTGTTTTGTACAGGTTTAACTATAATACGATGATAAATGATCCATTACTATTGTGTTCGACTTTCAAATCCAAAGTTCAAAGTACGTGGTCATATATGAGTGAAACTCAGTCTATTCATGCCAGGAAGAAGAGACAAGAGTGTCATCAAGAAGCAAGTTTGACGTCTGTAACTCTAATACTACTTCCAATAAGCCGTTAGGCAACGAATATAATATTACTGAGATAAAAACTAGACATTTCAGACTTGGAGCTAACTTCACAAAAAGTTTTAAAACATGTAATGGATAGCGATTACAAGTAAAAGACAAATTAAAGACTCAAAGTTGGAGAAAGGAGCAGATCATTACATTTTCATACAAAACGATGGCTGCGATATTTCCACCCTGGTTGTTAGAGCATTCTAATAATTGGTATTTACGTTATTATAATTGATTTCTTGAAATGTAAGTATGGGGGTTCAAAACGTACACACTGTATCGTGGTAGCAGCATTTATGTACTAATTATGCCCGTTGGGCGTCGTGAAATATAAGTTGGAGGCCAGAAATCTCCAGGCTAACCTTTCCTAGGCCTTTCCATCAGTTTCCCCAAGTGCTACATATTCTTTTGATATATGCTTCCAATTCTCAGAGCAATTGTTTTTGGCATACCTTCAGCTTTTAGGACTTCAAGTTAGACCTTGAGTTATGATGAAGTTCGATGATTTTACAAATACTATAAACCACAAACCAAATGTCTCGACATCATTTGTTACTCTACGTGATTCACCCAAAATTGACACCTTGATGGAACTTTTTGAACAGAATGAATGACCGAAGATTGTAAAAGGGTCTGACAAAAATTATTTAGTTCTGTGAAACAATTAAATGGCGCCTATCCTGACTTTTGACCTGAAGATATATCCCTTTCCTCAACTAATTATACATAGGCAGAAAGCCGGATAATCACTTGTCTATACGCAACCTTGCCGATTTCAAAAATCCTACGCAAACTCAAAAACATCCATCATTGGTAATTTCGTGAGTATGTCGTGTGGTGTCGAGTCGCGGTTGACTATGAACACCGCTACCAAGGAACGCGTGCCAGGATATCCATAAAATCTCCCAAAAGCGAAATATCAGAAGGCAGTTAATGGACCAAGTCGAGATATATTTGCTGGCGATCTCGTGGTATCGAAAGGATATCGAGATCGTGCCTGGATACAAGCTTGGTTGCAGAACGTAACCGAATTCGCGCGAGGTCACAACCAAAGTGTGTATAATGTATGATTTTAGCACAGTTAAACAAAGAGCACATTAAACAGGCACCGGTACAATTGGTTATAATAATAATAATTCAATGAGAAGACGTAGTTTATCCGAATTATGATAAACTACGTCTTCTCACTGCATTATCGAAGTTTATCAAAGGGACTAATTGTTTTAAATAATTATTGTTTTCATCAAACCAATCGTGTTCTCATGATAAAAGTGAGTCACTACAAGTAGTATCAAAATTAACAATTCCAAAACCATTCATGATTTATTGTTGTACAAATGCGTAGTTAATGCTTCAGAGGATTCCGAACTGGAAACTATGAGGAAAGTGAAAAAGTAATCGACTATATATTCGAAGAGGTGTTTAGAAGACTTCGGTGTATACAAGTTGCCACAATGTATAATATGCCTGGCAATGAAAGCTTAATGTATGTCGAAAAATACCCTACTACAAGTGTATAGATTGTTATGCTCCTGCTATATAATACGGAGAGAACATGAAGTCCAGACTAATGTGTTCTATTCCATTCTCTATCAGCTCAGTGGCACCACAGAAGCTAATCACCTAATTATTAACCAGTAGCTGCTTATGCGCACTTCATTATTTAAAGAGATTAATATCATCCGTGACACGAGCTCAATTTAACTTCAAACCATCGAAAATGGGCAGACTAACCGACCCAGTCTATCCTTTGGCAACAGTCACAACGATGACCGCTGCACTAACAATAAAGTACTTTCTCCTGCTTATCCTAAAACTAAAGGCTCATTGAGTACGGCTACCGGTACAAAGATCAAGCTTGTATATTAAACAGCTGTAATTATTGATCCTGAGTCCGAACGACCAACTGTCTTCCATTTTCAAGCCAGTAATACCACTGTAATGTCCCAGCGAGACCGATAAATATCTAATCACTTAGTCTAATAGAAATCTTCGTAGAAATCCTTTTGAAAGTAATAACCGTTTTCTACGGAAATACAAAATCATAAAAAACCCTCTTAAAATAACCCATAACTGTTTTAACGCTCTCAGCCCATAACATGCATCTCTACTCAGCAGTAGCAGATCCTACAACATACGCATATGTTTAACAGTATGCTGTCATTATAGCCTGCAAAAACGCTTGTCTGCCACCAAGCTTTCTCGCTATACTTAAGCTTTTCGGGGCAAACCCTAAACGTTTCTTGAATCATGATACAATTACACATAACATAAACACTTCACTTAGCACTAATCTCCGGCAATTCCTTGCTTCTGACGTGAAACATACAACCTCATTAATTACTGACAACGGAGATAGAATGCCCAATAGTACACAAAACCTACAATGTTGGCCTTCTTGTGCACCCTTCCAATGATTCTAGATTCTACCTGAGTGAAACCCCCATTTTCCCACCTAAAAACAAACACCTTACCCATTTTTAGCATTTCCTCCCAACATTCATGTTATTTTATCCGCACCTATTGACTAGTGAACAAAATAATTCTCCACTCACTAGTTGAGCTAATGATGTATCCAATTTCATTATCTCTCCAAAACGTCCTGTTATTTCATCTTATTTCTACATTATCTACTATCTTAGATCTCAAGCTCACTTAACTGGTCTATGATGAATTTTAATTATTGAAACCTGGTGGACAAATGGCATTTTGGATTTACACTTCGTGTAGATATTCACAAAATGTACCATAATGTTCAAAATTCAGGCAAAGGTGAAGGTTGTATAATTATGTGTGCGATCTGTTTTCCCATGGAATATATTCTTCTCATAGGGTTGTGGACGGTTAGGTGATGCTACACTCGTCACTGTAGATGATTGTTCCCATCAGCCTTTCATAACAGGTTGCGTTTGTAGACCGCCAAATGCTGCTCATGTGGCGGGTGTACATTTAAATCAAATATTAGCATAATTATCGTCCCTACCTATAGCTAAGTCAGTTGGAGGCTATTTCAACATGCCCTCTGTGTATTGGAATTCACCACATGATACTACTCATTTTGATGAATTCATTAAAGTGCCAGAAGCAAACAGTTGGACACAGGTGGCCAATAAACTCACTAGAAAAAGGTAGACATATGGGCTTAATTTTCATAAGCAGCGTCCCAACATATTAGTCTTGAATTTTCAGGCATCGCTAACAAAGTTTTAGCCTGTCAACTTATTGAGCGGATGTGCTCTTTCACTTCTACTGGGACGAAATTTTCTGTGGATTCTTGTCAGAAGCTTTTCAAATACTAACTGGTACTATGTCGAAATTGTACTAAGTGATCTAAGTTGGAACAAGTTTTCCTCCTCCAGTGAGGCTAATAATACACTGCATTTTTTTCATTTCACCATCAAGACTTGTTTGGTCATAATCGGTCCAATTATAACGGAAACAATACACTTTCCTCAATGTGATTATTTCACTATCAAGTTCAGATATAAGTTCAGGAAGCCGAGAAAAATGTGCTTTGTTCAACATGACTTTTCGGTATCATCTACATCTAGTTAGTATTTGAGCAAATTAAAACTTTCGATAGACAAAGGAATTGGAAGTGGAAAAAGTGATTTCAAGTTCACAAAATAAGAATTGATTTTTGACAGCTACTATAAAGAAGAAACTTTGCATTCATCCTAACATTCCTACTGTCCTTAAAGCGGATGATGAACTTATAAAAAACCCAGCATAACTATGTGAACTTCATAGCGACATATTTGGACAGACATTAATTAAATGTAATGAAGATCAATGTAAAATGCGATCGTTAAACAAACTCACCAATAGTAAAGTGAAATGCCCACCACCGCACTAACTTTCCTTGACCTTGTATGACTGTGTCTTCTTTATTCACCAATTACAATTCGATGTTCATTATAAAACAATATTTGCTTCGTTGACTCATTTTTCCTATTCTCTAGCTACTGCTCGGTACATTATTTATGTCTTTGTTTTTCCCTGTGGTAATAAACTGTACTGTTTCTCTTGTACACTAACAGTGTTAATTTATGTTTTAGAAACAGATTAAGTTCATCAAGCCAAATAGCTTACTTGTCCTGACTTTGGCTAACCCAAGACTCTGTATTCGACAGTCTATGGAATAGCTTCGAGTTGAACCTGTAGAAAATCGCTTCCTACAATGAAAGTACAATGAGCAGTTTAAGCTCACATACATCCGCGGACCTAGAATTCACGCAGAATACTGTGAGAGATGTGTTAATGGCATTAAAACCTTTTGGAGGTGGTTACGTTGGGATACCGGCTAAAAATGGGCATTCTGACACTAATTATGCCTACTAAAATATTTGCTCTGAGCTTTGAGAC